CTGAGGACCTTTTAACTCTCAAATCCTATGATGCTGTGATTTAACTTTTCCCCCACCATTGGTCAATAGGCTCAAAAAATCTTTTACAGAAATGTGTTCTGAGACTTGACTTTGCTGTGAGTCTCTTATGGGCTGTCTCCTGGGCTTGGAAAGCCCTCTGTCCTTGTCTCTGTCTCTTAAAGCCTCTCATATCCTTCAAAGCTCATCTCAAGTTTCACTTTTTGCAGGAAAGCTTTCCTGATTCTCCACCTGCTAGTAACCCCTACATCTACCAAATAAATGTATTAATTTTGTATGTATGTATGTATTTGTGTGTGTATTTGTATGTGTGTGTGTGTGTGTACACAACTTTCCCGACAGAATGGGCAGATGAGACCAATTTGTTCCAATAACCATGAAGATGGCTGAAGCAGGCATTGTGTTCACTTCCAGCTTGGTCAGACTTTGAAGATAGACTTCAAAGCCTTTTTTCTTGCCACTAGATTTCAATGACTCAGGAAGACAGAGTGAGGCTGATGGCTTTGTGCAACTCTGTCTCACTTAAATGTAATTCATGCTCAAGTCCTGGCATCACCTCATGATGTCATTGGTCTCATTCAAAAATGGATCAATAACAGCATAAATAATAGGCATCTAATAAATGAAATAGCATCAACGAGGTGATATGGATAGAGTACTGAACATAGAGTCGGGAAGACCTGTGTTCAAATACAGCTGCAGATACTAGCTGTGTGACCATAGGCAAATCACTTAAATGCCATTTGCCTCAGTGTCCTCAAATATAAAATAAGGATCACAATAGTACTTACCTCTCATGGTTATTGTGATGATTAAATGAGATAATAGCTGTAAATTGATAAGCACAACACCTGGTATATAGTAGGCAATTAATAAATGCATGTTTTCTTCCTTCTTTGTTAATTGATTTCTTTGTGCTTCATCCAATTCTCTCTCCATATTCCAAATTGGGTCATTAGGGCACAGAGAAGTTCTCTCACACGAATAGTGGCAGAAAAATGAAAATTCATGCTTTGAAACTCCCCATTTGGGACTCTTTCCAGGAGATAACAAAGTAAGAAATGCTGAGAGCTGGGAGAGGACCCCCTCTAGTTCCCACTTATGCCGGGAAAGGAATCCTACTCCCAGGACCTACATTACTGGGATAAAAATAAAGCACATCTAACAGAAAGCTTCTTTTAAGTATTCTCCTAAATATCAAGAAGCTCTTTTTAAAGCAGGGAAGCAAAAAAAAAGCTCCATTATAAACATCATGGGGTTAGAGCAGGAAGTGATCTCAGAAGCCATGGCATCCAACTCCTTCATTTTATAGATGAGGAAACTGAGGCTCAGGAAGATAAAATGATTTATTGAATGTTACATAGGTAGTAAGTTACAAAACCAGTATTGGTGTTCAGGTCCTCTGGCTCCAAACTGAAACACTTTGGTAGAAAATGAATAGAGGAGAACTTAATTCCCCACTCTTTCTACTTCTTTTACTTTTCTATTAAATGTAATCTTATGATTACTGTAACAGGAAGTGGATAGATCTGCATGAACCTAGCAGGAAGTATGATGATGGAATTGGTTGAGCTTTCTGACTTTTCTCATTCTGATTATAGATCAACAGCTTCAAGGGAAATGTTTCTATCTTATTACTTCCAGCTAAATTGAGGAATGAGGAAAGCTGTCGAGAAGACAAAGGGAAACAGGATGAGATGTTACAGCCTGAGAACATAAGCAAGTAATTATTGCCTTCACTCAGTGGGAGGACCAACCTTAATGATGTATTGCAGGCTAAATTCAATAGCATGGAATATAAGGCCCTAAAAATCAGACTTCACCAATTTCCTTTGCCAAGGAAAGTTTAGATTTGAATGGGGTCCTGCAGTTTTCATCTCATGGGGTTATGCTGGGAATGTTTCTTCTCTATAGAAAAAATGATGATAATAACACGGGGAGTTCTATATTAGCTTTAGTGATGATCTCACTTGCTAACTCTACAACCTTGTGAAATAGGTCAGTACAAGCATTGTTGTCCCATTTTATAAATGAGTAAATTGAGGTTCAGAGAGCAAAATAACTTGCTCTAATCTCACTGAGCCTCAGTTTCCCCATTTAGAAAATGAAAGTGTTGGATTGCATAACCCTCTAAGGATCCTTCCTGTCCTAAATCTATGATCATAGGCTTGAAGTTCACATGGTGAGTCTGAAGCAGAGTCAGTACTTAAGCATGGCAGAGCTAAGAAGGGACCTTTGAGATCACCTAGCCCAATCCAATTATTTAAAGTTGAAGAAAGAGGCCTGGAGAGGAGAAGTCACTTATTTGAGGTCATACAGTATATCAGTAATAGGCGGAGGATCAAAACCAGGTTTTGTTACTCCAAGGCCCAGTACTCTTCTTGCTACATTGGACTCAATTGCATGATTGATTTTTGTAGCAGCTACTTCTCTAATTTTCCTGGTGATTAAAGTAGGAGCAGCTTTAATGAGCTTGGGGGCACTGTGCCTCAGTGGCTGAAGGAAACTCTGGGGCTAATCCTAGCTTTGCTAGTAACTTTCAGTGTAACCGTAAGCAAGTTGTTCAAGTCATTTGATTTTGGAGAAAAGAGGATGGTGGAGCTGTATGCTTAGCTACCATGACAACAACATCTCTCTATACCTGGATAAAGTCTCAGTTAGCTCTCTGTTCTTCAAGTAGGTATACACAGTGGTAGAAAGGAAGTTGGAGGTGGAGACAGGGAATTTATTGTTCCAACCCTTCTGGCCCTACCAATATGCATAGGATTTAATGGTAAGAATCTAAATTCTCAGAGTAGGGAATTTCCATTCCCTCTACTAATTATAGCTGAATACAAAGAAAGTGATCGCTGAGGTATTTTAAGTTCTTCAGTACCACAATGTCCTTAACCATTCCCTCCTGAAATTTGGCTAGAAAAAAAAAAACATGTACTTGAAAATGAATGCATAATACAAATAAGTATTTTAGAATACCAGTTGTGGCATCTCTGGGGGGAAATTCAATATATCATATAAGAACATCAACTCTCTTGATCAGCCTTACAAAAGTATGTTAAGTCAACAAGCTTCAGCACTTATTAGGTACCAGGCACTGTGCTGATACAAACCAAAAGACAGCCTGTCCCTGCCCTCAAGGAGCTTACATTCTAATGGGGAAAGACAACATATAAATGGGAATTGGAGAAGGGAAAGGGGGAAGAAGTTACCCATGTGGGGGCACAATGGAGAAGTCTAGACGGTCAGAAATGGAGCTGGGAGAGGACTGAAGGAGTGAGCATGTCTAGTCTTGGTAGTTCCTCAAAATGGAGGTTCTGGGAGCAACTCACCAATCAAAGGAGGGGGTTGCAGGGATAGAACATGTACTGCCATGTATCTAGGCTCTGATGGGTGCTAAGATAATCAGGTCATCTTGAGAAATTCACTAGAATTCTATGTTGATGTCATGATGGCATACTTTGTCACATCAGAGTTAACAGTATTTTCTTCCCTGGTTCTCAACAGGATGAAGTGAAGGACGCCAACTCTATAGTTCATCTTTCCCTCTCCCCTCTCTGTTTCCATCTTTTTCTTTCTTTCTTTTTCTTTCTTTCTTTCTTTCTTTCTCTCTTTCTTTCTTTCTTTCTTTCTTTCTTTCTTTCTTTCTTTCTTTCTTTCTTTCTTTCTTTCTTTCTTTCTTTCTTTCTTTCTTCTTCCCTTTCTCTGTCTTCTCTGAGCAGGCCCCAGTGTGAGTGATGCAGCCCAGTCTTCCTTGTTATATGGCTTTCAAAATAGATTTTTGAATCCATGTGGGTCAACAACTTTGGTATTTAGCAGTGGTTCTGAGCAGATAATGGAAATATTTCATTTCACATTGAGGTCAACTTGCTCTGTTGATATTTCAACTTAGTGTATGAGATTGAATTGAGGGACAAAGCAAAGGGGGGACACGCACAGTAGGGGGTGGACAAAAGGGAAAGAAGAGGAGCCCAGAGAGGCTTTTAAAAGCTCCAGGCTATAGAAATGTCCGGGGGCCTCAGCTGGCTGAAAGACACAAAACATACGAATGAGGGCTTCAATGAAAAATTCGTATCAAGCCAAGAGGACTCTGAGTAGGACAATGAGTGAAGTGTCCAGTAACAAACAGGCCAAAGGAAAGAGGGACAGTATGTCTGGAACATTTGTTGGGGAGTCCTGCTCTGTCACTAAGGCTGGGCACATAAACAACACAATAAATCCAATCCCTGAGAGCTGATTTTCCTTCCTTGAGATCTACCTCAGTGGCAGCTACAGCTGTTATGGCTTGGTTGCAGAGAAGAGAAAGTTCCTATCACCTTGGCCTTCCTCTCCATGAAATGAGGTTGCTAATATTTGTGCCTAGGAAGCATTCTCTGGTTGAAAATTTCCTCTGTGGTGAGTGGTAAGACAGAGTCCTGGACCTGGTGTTAGGAAGCCTCCATGGTTTAAATTTGACCTCATGTACTTACAAGGGTGGGATCTCAGGAAAGTAATTCAGCCTCTCTGTTCCTTAGTTTCCTCACATGTAAAATGAGTCACTTCAATTTGAGGGTCTCCAAGGTTCCTCTTGGCTCTAAAGCTATGACTATAGGTTCAAAGGGCCGATGATGCTTTCTGTCTGACCATATGTCACTTTACCTCTGTGGGCCTTGGTTTTCATCTTTATACCATCAATCAACAAGCTTTAGTAAGTACTTGTGGTGTGTCAGGCACTGTCCTAGGTTCTGAGGATATAATTACAAAGAATTACAGAATCTCTATTCATAAGAAGCTTATATTCCAATGGTAAAGACAGTGATGGGGTTGAAGTCAGTAGCCTCTCAGGTTCCATCTAGCTCTTAACACTGGATTGTGATGCTCACAGTTAGAGCTCTGACTTGAGCTCTCTTCTCCGAACTCTTAGAATAGTGGTCTCACCAATGCTCTATATTGCCTCATAAAGCCCAGGGTGGGTGGCAGGGAAATAAGCATTCATTAAACACCTACTGTATCTCAGGCACTCTACTAAGCATCTTACAGGAGGGCACAGAGATGTCAGAATGGTAGGGAGAGAAAAAGACTATGGTAAGAGGAGACATACGAGCAGATAGTTTCTCTCTATATCTTCTTATAGTTCCTGATAATTGCTAGACTTAGATAACATGTCTGATGCCAGATAGGCATGTAGCTAAAAACAGCTGAAGAATATGACTCCAACTCTCCTGATAAATGAGAGAAGGGAAAATGTCTCCATTAAAAGTCTGCAAATTATAGGCCAGTGAACTTGATTTTGAATCCTGGCAAAATTCAGAAGTGTATTATTGAAGTGGTGGTGTTCTGGTTTGGGGCTGATTCAGGCCAGTCCCTTGGTACTTTAGGTTCAATACTGGAACATCATAAGACACTATAGATCATTAAAAAGGTAGAAAAAAAGAGATTTACTTAGCCGCAGCAGGAGAATGAGTCAACCAGGATAGGCATTGAGAACTCCCTTTTTTGATTCAGCTGAATGAAACTCCCATTACAATCCATCAGCAAAGCATCTGATCTCTCCCAAACCTCCTTATGATTACTACTAAGTGGGTCAATAATCTGAGCCCTTAGTCCCCTGAGCCAACCAACTATTGAGAAATGATTCAGTACATTTTAGGGAGAATGTAGCCTAAGCCGCATGCAGGGAGGTGGGTGAGCACTGTATATGAGGGTGAGTAAGTAGAAATGTAGAAATCAGAATTCATTGAGAACCATCATAGCCTCCTCATGAATACTACCTCTGTTTCTTTTATTGATAATATCACTAAATTGGTGAGGAATATCTTGGCCTAATAGTTAGAGAGCTGGCCTAAGAGTTAGGAAGATGTAAGTTTAAATTCCATGTATGACAAATACTCTCTATTAATCCATTGATATTCTAGGCAACTTTCTAAGACTTCAAATTATCAAGCAGATGTCTCTCTGAATCATAATAAAAGAGTTTCTTTTATTAAAATATTATTTATTTATCTTTAACGTTCTTTTAAAAAATGAGTTCTATATTATCTCCTTCTTTCAAGCCCCTTTCTCACCCATTGAGAAGGCAAGCAATATGATAACAATTATGTGTGTGAAATCCCACAAAACATATTTTCACAGGCTCAGTTTCTCTATCTCCAATCTCCCTACAAAATTAAGCTGAACTTTGTTTTTAAGTATGTTTTTAAGATAGTATTGCTGTGTTTTAGCTTGACATTTGGGCAAAGTCTCATGATTTTCTTGTGGGTATAATGGAGAGATGGGGTCTAGTTGATTGTATAGTTAGGTGACTTCAGAATTGTTTGAAGGACCAACTCAAAGAATAATCATTAATGGGTCTAATATCAATTTGTACAGTGCTATCTAGTGGAGTGCCACAGGTATCTTTCTATGGATCAGTGCTGTTCATCATTTTTATCAGTAACTTAAATTAAGGCATGGATCATGAGCTTATAAAATGTTCAAATGGACAAAATTCAGAGGCATAGTGAGGCAAAGACCTCGTAAAAAATGATCTTGACAGGCTAGAATAATGGGCCAAATCTATTAAGATAAAATTTAATAGAAAAAATACAACTTTATATACTTGGGTTAAAAAAAATTAACATTGGAAAAACAGACTGGAGGAGGTATTAGATGTCTAATGATTAGCTAGAAAACTATCCAGGGGTTTTAGTGGACAGGAAGATAAATATGAGTCAACAATATGACTTGCATCAATATTTTGATGAATTATTTCATTAATATGGCAACTTTCTCCTCCATGGAGATGTTAGACTATCAGTGCCTTCCTATTCTCTATGCTTCTTTTGTGTTCCCATAAATCTTTCAGATGAGACTCACCCAACATTCTGGAGGGTTTGTCTAGTTCATTTAATTATTCTATGAGCACCAGAGCCGTATCAGACTGTTCATCGGTTATCTCCAGTTTTTCCTGCCTGCCTGACCCATCTCTCTTTCTGATCATAGGTTGCTTTAATGATGTCTCTTCCTCCATTTCTTCTTCAGGAGTGATTCTTGGTTATATTCAGCAGCCAACTTATATTCAGCATGTCTATTTGTTGCCTTTTGGATTGCCCATAATTTTGATTCTTCAGTGAACATGTTTTCCATCATTCAGAGTCAAATAGCTACAATGAAAGAGTAGTGGCATTAAAAAGAAGGGATTTTATGTTAGAAAGCAGTTTGGGATGTGAAAGTACTTATAAAGGTTTCTGAATGCAATCTAATCCAGTGTGATAACAGCAGCCAAAAAAGCTAACAGATGTGGGCTGACTTAATGTAAGTATAGTGTCCAGAATAATAACAAAATATTTATATAGTGCTTTAAGGTTTATGGGATACTTTCCTTCCACGAACCATAGACTCACACATATAGAGCTGAAGGAAACTTAAGGGCCACCTAGCCCAATTTCTCTTTTTTTCAAATTGGGAAACTGAGGCACAGAGAGGTTAAGTGACTTGTCCAGAGTTACATGGCCAGTAAATGTCTGAGGCAGATTTGAATTTAGTTCATTCTGACTCCTAGTCCAGTGCCTTGTGCCTTCCTGCCTCTAAAGCTTCTTATTTTTATTGGAATAGGAACTCTGATGTGAAAAAATTTCCTTTGTTACTAACTCTTTTAGGCAGGTAGATAGTCTCATTGTATCCTGTGTTGGTAAAAAAAAAAATGTATAGAGTATCATTTTCAGGTATAAAAGCCATATGAGATATTGAAAAACTGGAGTGTGTCCAGATGAGGGTAAGGAGGAGGGTGAGAGAAACCAAGACCATGACAAATGGATAATGGTTGCAGGAACTGAGAATATTTCTCCATGTCAAGGACCATAGGTAGGGTATGCTCGCTGTCTTCATGGATCTAAAGGGCTAGGCACAGGTGTCAGGTATGTTTTACTTTATTCCTGAGAGCAGAATTAGAAGTAATGGACAGTCATTGCAGAGATGTGGATTCCGGATAAGTGAAGTCTGTTTAACAATTAGAACTGTGAGAAAACTGAATGAGGAAGGTGGTAGATTCTTCACTACTGGAATTTTTCAAGAAGAGGCTGGGTGGCCACTCCTTTTGCATAGAACAGAATTATTCCTACTCAGGTATGGATTGGACTCAGTATCCTCTGAGGTCCATCTCACCTATGAGAATCTATAAGACTGTTTCAAGGCTAGGAGGTCACTGGGCTACTTGGTATAGCCATTCTTTCCTTAGCTGCCCTCTTTCTTTCCTTTCCACCTCTGGAAAGCAATGCCTAGGTCCTGTGGGTAGGCCCAAAGCCCCAGTGTTAGAGCATAGACGGGACATATTCTGTTGTAATAGTCTATTATTTCTATGTAACCATGTACTGGAAGGGGAAATGGCAAGTCACAATCTCTCTAAGCTCAAGTAATACCGTAAGAATGAAAAAAAAAATCAGTACTTACTATTACATGCCAAGCCTTATATACTAAGTCTCAGGGATACAATTATAAATGCAGGCAATCTCTTCCCTCTAGGAGTTTATATTCTAATGGGGAGAGAAAACATGAATAAGGGAGTTGTGGTCAGGGTGTGCTATTGTGGTTTAGAAACTTACAGAAATGATAGGATCAGATTAACCCACTGGGGTTTGCCTCAATGGGCCCATCCTTACTGTATTTGATCATGACCAACTTGCTGCCTGATTTCTGTAGGTCTTCATTACTTAAGTAGCCAAAGTCCACTTCTTTCCTCTATACTGGGATTTGTCACCATGTTCTATCCTCTCACCTGTTATTTCTGAGCAGTTTCACTCTTGTAACAATAAACTTCTGTGTGGGAGCCAAACAACATGTATGAAATATTTGCTTTAAAATCACTTTCCTACCATTCCTCCATGTTTTTTTCTCCTCTTCATTATAATATTAGCTGATACATTTCATTATATATTGCTTTGCTGGCATCTTCTTGCTTGATCTTAGAATTTCCTCACTAAATCTGCAGTTTCATTTTGCAGTCTCAATTTTAAAGAAAGTTCCAAGAGGTGACTTGGCTTGTATGAAGTAACAGCATGGAGGCTCCAATTCAGATCTTCAACCTCCTGATCCACTCTGCCTCCCAAATAAGTCACTGCCAGTGCTTCTATTCTAAGTGTCCTTTACTGTAGGCAGCCTGGCTCTCAGAAAAAAGGTTATCCTCATTTCTGTCATGCATAATGTCTTGTAAGTCTTCTGTCCTGTGCATTCTTTTTTTTTTTTTTTCCATGTGGACACCAGCTAGAAGGAACTGTGATGCTTCCTGCAGTGATGATGAAGAAAAAGACAGATCATCCATTAAAGCCTCTGGAACAGTTAAAAATTGTGTCCTGAGAATGTCTTTGAAAGCATTTGATCCCCTTGGTGGGAAATAAGATCATATGGAACCCAGACTTGGTACAAATCAGAATTAGAGGAAGAAATGTATTTTTGGACCTACTCCAACCATAAAGTTCTGCTGGAGTGTAGGTGTGTTGGGTTTTGAAGGGATACGTCTTCAAGGCATAAGCTCTAGGAAGTCTACCAAGGAAGAAGAGCTTTGAATATAATCCAGTGATGGGTTATCAATTTCTTGGCCCAGGACCACCTTATCTAAATTTGGAAAGGAAGGCTTGTTTTCAGGTCAGTTTGAGGGTGATAACTGTGTTTTGGCCTTATCAACTCTTTGAGACAATCTACTATATTTTACAGGGACTACAATTTAAGCTGGAAGAAGGTGTACCCACAATAATGAAATCACTGATTGTTCATGGATGAAGTAGGTACAATGTACTTTTTCACTACCCATGCTATTTTTTACTTATAGGAACTACCTTAGTGACCTTCTCAGGTACTGATGCTATCTTGGAAAAAAATCATTTCTATAGTGGAGAAATTCGTAGCATGCAGAAGGAAGAAAGAGTGCATGCAGTGAAAATGCTCCCAGTGGGAAGTGTTGTGTGTGTCTGCTTGGTCTTTAAAAAGAGAAGGAACTTTTTGTGTTGTTTACCATCTTTGGTACTCAGTGGAATATTCATATTCACTGATGAAATGCCAGAAATGGACAAGGAAACTAGAATTTTGAAATATGCCCTTGCTGCTATTATATGCTAATAAGTTACAAATGTACAGACACATACAAATGGGGGAGTTAGAAGGCCTCATGTGGAAATATAAGATGTTTCATTACCAAGAAATTTCAGGAAGAAATATGCGTCAAAACAAATTGAAAGATCCATCCAACTAACTTGCTCTCTAAGTAGGGTTGTAAGAAAAAACACTCTGGGTGACGAAAGAACTGGAGGCTGAGCATGGCATCTCAAATTCAACACGTCTTAACCTGAACTCATCATTCTCCTCTTTTCCCAACCTCCTTGTCCCTAACTTCTAATTTCTGCCACCCAGGAATAAAATCTTGGAGTTTACAGAATCAAAGGGACATAGATTTCTAGCTGAAAGAGACCTCAGAAGCTACTTAGTGTAAGTTCCTCATTTCACAGTGAGGAAACTGAGGCTTAGAGGAGCTACTCTGTGTTCCAGCCATACTAATTTACTTCCAGTTTTCTCCATGTGTCCAACAGATGACATACTCTCTTTCTCTGATCTCTGTTCCTTTGCAAAATGCCTTTCCCCTGCCTGCAATCTTCCTTCTAACTTCTGCCACTTGGAATCCCTAGCTTTCTTAAGTCTTAGCATGAGTTCTCTCTTCTACATGATCTACTTGCCTGATTCGCCCAGTTGTTAGTGAGTGAGTGATGCCTACCCCCCATCACACTGAAATTATCTTGCATTTACTTTGCATATATTTGATTTCTACTTATTGAGGTACAGGTGGATTATTTCTAGTCAAATGTTAGTTCTTTAGGGCAGAGACCATTTCATTTTGGTTTTTATCCCCAGAACCTAGTAAGGTGTCTTGTATACAGCACACTCTAGATAAAAACCAGCTCCATTGAATTGAATTGTGTGACCTTGGATAAGTCACTTTTGCTCTCTGTACTTCATTACCTTCTCCTGGAAAGTATTGGGAGTTCACCTAGGTGACCTCTGAGATTTCTCACAACTCCAGACTCTTAGAGAGTTTAGCAAATTTCACCCCAAAGGAGTCCACCTGGAGACACATAACAGCTGTCTTGGACAATATGTGCCCCCAGCCATTTTGAGAATACCTGGATTTGGGAGTTTCCCTACAAGAGTCCACTGGCCATCTCAGCAACTGGTTTCAGAGGCCTTTGACAGGAAGGCCACATGGCTATAAAAAATCGAAGGGCTTTGAATAAGGGATAGCTAGATGGCACAGTGAATTGACTGTTAGACTTGGAGTTAGGAAGACCTAAATTCTAATCTGGTATCTGATCCTTATTAATTTGTGACTCTGGGTAAGTTAATTAACTTCTATTTGCCTCAGTTTCCTCAATTGCAAAATGAAGATACTAATAGCACCTATCTCCCAGGGTTATTGTGAGGATCAGATGAAGTAACATGCAAAGCACTGAGCAGTACCTGGCACGTAGTTGTTGAACACATACTTTCCCCTGATACTTTCTGTCCTTGAAAAATGTCAGAAATGCCCCAGCTCTGAGTTTGAAAATATTCTTTAGTAGGAGTTGAGAATCTTCCCCTCCTCCCCACCCCAGTTCTTGTGCTACATTCAAAAATAGCTATCCCCTTCGTTCCAATTAGTCCAGATGAGGTATAGCCCTCCTGTTATAAGCTGGAGAAATTCTGCTCTGCTAGAAAAGTATGCTGAAAGCAGCACAAAGGGACCAATTCCTTTCTCTCTATGGAGCAAATCAATCAGTAGGCATTTATTAAATGCCTATCACATGCCAGGCACTGTGCTAGGTGGTCAGGGTACAAAATATGAAATGAAACAGTCCTAGCCTTCAGGAAGCCTCCATTCCATAGGAAGACATATGTGCACACAAAACAGGACACCAAATAAGGATATGAAATACATGTAAAAATAGATACAAGAGACTTTAGCTTGTGGAGGGGGGATTGAAATTGGGGGAGAGTGGAGCTTTGAAAGAAACTGGGGACTCACCAGTGAGTAGGATGTTTCTTTCCGAGCTGGAGACTTGGACTCTGATGAAAATTAAGAGCATAAGCACCTTTTAAAATCATACCAGCCCCTGTTTAGTTTTTTTTACCGTTTACCTTTTTACTCAAGGACATAGCATATGTTTAAATATTCTCCATTTTCATTCTATCCATAGCTGGACAACAACTTTCAAAGTTGTACTGTCTCCATCCATTGCTACTTGCTGCCTTCTGTCCCTAATTGGGGTGGGAGGGTGGCAAAAAACAAACACTGCTGCAATCACATTGGGCAGGGGATGATTTGGCCTTTAAAAGGCTAATATAGCTTATTCTGCTTTATTTGGCTTCATATTCTGCTTCTTTCACATACAGAGTCAGCTTTTACAGTCTATATGTTTGAGGAGAGTTTCTGAGCTGTTAATGACAGGTGTGCCAAACTCTGATTACCCTGCAATGATTCTGACATATTTTGGTAGCTATTAATCCATGTAACTTAGAAATGAGGCTAGGTGGCACAGTGGATAAAGCATTGCACTTAACATCAGGAAGGCTCATCTTTATGGGTTCAAATATGGCCTCAGAAACTTACTAGCTATATGACCCTGGGCAAGTCACATTGCCCTGTTTGCCTCAGTTTTTCATCTGTAAAAACAAGCTGGAGAGGGAAATGGAAAACCTATTCAGTATCTTTGCCAAGAACCCAAAAACAGAGTCACAAAGAGTTAGGCATGACTGAAGTAAGGAACTTAGAAATATACAAAACACTGATCGAATTATAGATTCTTGGAATATAGCGGAATTTGGCCTTTCTATTCTACTTACATTTCTTTTGTTGTGGCAATGTTAATATGTCGATCAAGAAATATAACGATATTTGTAATTATTTTGCAGTAAAAAAATGTCCATGTTCACATTCATTGATATTTCCTTTCAAAATTAAGATGATTTTCTTAACATCATAGAATATAAAAATTGAAGGGGACCTCAGAAACACTTTGGCCTGGGCAAGAATCTCCCTTTGATACCCATAAGAAGTAAACATCTGTTCTCAAATGAGGTATAAAACACCCTGCCTCCCAAGGCAAACCATTCCATTCTTGGATATTTCTTATTAGTACTAAGTTGTTTTTTTTTTTCTTACATAAAGCCTAATCCTTCATCTCTATAGCTTCTCACCAATACTTCTAGTTTTTTCCCCTGGGCCCAAGCAGAACTAGTTCAATCCTCTGTCCACACATCAGCCCTTCAAATATTGCAAAGCTATTAGGGCCCCCAAAGTAATCTTTTCTTTGATAAACAGTTCTGTTTTCTTCTAGTTGATTTTCCTAAGGTATATCTCCACTTTCTTTCACCATCCTAAACATGCTTCAAACATTCTTAAAACATAGTGCCCAGGATAAAAAAAAAAAAGACTCTGCATGTATGGCTTAACTGGAGCTGAGGGTAATGGAGTTATGGCTTTCCTTATTTACAGGTGTCATACCTTTCAGAAAGCAGCCAGAGAGCATCAGATTTTGGGCTGCCCTGTTACACTGTTGACTTTTATTGAAAGTAAAATGTAATAACTGTTCCCTCTTCCCTCCTACATGTATTAAAATAATAGCTAGCATTTGTATATCATCTAAAAATCAATATTATCTCACTTGATTCTTACAATAGTTTTAGGAGGTAGGTGTTATTTTTATCTTCATTTTGAAGTTGAGGAAACTGAGGCAAACAGAGGGTAAAGTGACTTGCTGAGGACCGCACAGCTTGTAATTGTCTGAGGAAGGATTTGAGCTCATCTCTTCCTGACTCCAACGCTAGCACGCTAGCCATTAGAGTGGTCGACTCTAAATAAAACTACCTTGCTGCCCTTTGTCCAAGGGATTATTTTTCAGTGATGTATCTATTGTTCTCTATGTATGAAGCTGATATTTTTACTCCCCCAAAGGAATTTATATTGATTTATAATCATTGTGTTTTCTTAAGTTTGGCATACTGCTCTAGTCTATTTAGGTAAAAATAATAACTAGTATTTACGTAGTGTTGTAAGGTTTGCAAAATACTTTACATATATTCATTGTATGTATCTCTGTCTCCATCTGTCTCTCTATCACTCTGTCTCCTCTCTCTCATTCCCTCTTTCTGGCTCTGTCTTTCCTCCTCCCCTCTTCCATTCCTTTGCACTTTCTCTTTCTCCCTCCCATCCTCTTTTGGTCTCTGTGCATCTCTCTTTGTCTCCCTCCCTCCCTTTTAATTGATCCTCACAACATTTTTTTATCCAGAGTTTGTCATTCAATATATTGTGATGCTGCCAAACTTTAAGCACTTTTCATCTTGACAAGTGAACTATTTTTTTTTTGGGGGGGGGGTTTGTGTGGAAACAAACAGACCTGTGCTTTCATTATTTATATTATCAAAGTAATCTTGCCAACTTTCCCGAAATTTTTAAATTGACAAGCAAACTTTTTTTCTTTTGGGGGGGAAGGAGGAAATAGACCTGGGTTTTCATTATTCACATTATTTATTGTGATCCTGACAAGCTTTACATCATTTTAAAATTTAACAAGCAAGCAGACTTTTTTTTTTTTGGGAGGGGGGAGGTAGGGAACAGACCTGGGATTTTATTATTCTCATAAGCTCTCAGTCTTTACCAATGCAGATATACATCCTCTCTATATCTTATAGTCTTGGAGAATTGGGCACTGTGGGACACTGAGAGCTTAGATGAATTGCCCAGATCATGCAGTCAGT